AACTTTTTTAGTAGTTAGAAAAACATTCCTACCTGAAGCTGTGCATGAGGGCAATCTGACATCCGTTTTACTCTGAACAGTTTCAAAAAAGTGGTGCCAATTGAATTGATTGCACACATCATAATTGTGTAGGAGGACAACTAGATTTACAAATATATATTACACACACACAAAACAGACAAAGCTATAAAATGCTTGGTAGCTCCACATGCTTTGAGCTAGCCAACATACCTGCTGCATGTTGAACTGCTTATTATTGATCATATTGAAAATTTAAACAGCTATTTCTGATGTATCAGTTACTGGATTAAACAACCACTTCCAGAGCGGAGGAAGAAAGAGGAGAAATGATGGACCCAAAAGTTGAGGGTTTAAACATACGTTCCTTGAATAGCCAGCATATCACTTCAGTAATGTGAAGAGTGTTGCCCCAATTTTTACTTAGTGTTAAAGAGTCTTAGGCCAAGTTCACCTCTGGCATTAGTGGGAGTGTCTCCCACCATTTCAATGGCACTTGTGTCCTCTTTCACCAGGGCTGAATTTGGTCCTATAACTGGTCACCTTCAGTAACATTAAGGGAAGTGGGAGCCTTGGACAGATAGAACTGGGCTGCAAAATTAAAAGAGTGAATATTGGACAAATCATGTAAATAAAGAATATATATTAATAATAGTTCCTATTATATAAATAGCCTTTATAAAAAAATAATCTTTCAATAATTTTAATAACTCACCTTTTTTAGGTTCTTGGAAAACATGTATGAAAAAAATCTATTCAGTTCAAGTTAGATTAAAGCAAACCTAAGATGAACACTACAACTCTTTGTTGCACTAAACCCAATTCCGACCATTCAGTTTCCAGGTTAGTCAGTTTTGGGGGATGATAAGAAAAGTTTCTTTGTGAAGGCATGAATTGCACCCCTAGAAATACTGAGCAGAAGAAACACCATACTGAATGGGCCTATTTCCTACTGTTTTCTGAAACTGTGCAGATGACAGACCCAGAAATCAAAGGATCATCTAAACCCTATGTATGTTAATGCCTCCGAGCACATTTAAAAGGCACTGTCCTCTCACTATTTTTCAGATCTTTGAGCTTAAACTCCTTCCCTTCAAACTACACTGCATTCAAATATTAACTACCCACTTGAACTTTCTTTCAATGCTTCTCATTCCAGCAGTTTCTACCTGCTGTACCAGACCCAAGGTAATATGTGATGGACTCTATATTCATGCTGGCACTATTTTCTTTTTCCTTCTAATTTATCCTATCAAATGAAAAAAGGAAACATTCTTCCCAAGTTTACCTTTTTGGGCTTAAGGCATAACATGAAGTCACACATCATACTAAAGCTTAATTTTTGAAGTGTACAATTTTAGTGCTATCTGAAACCCTGTTTTACATTGTTTTTCAACAGATGTCTGAATAGTTCGTCTTTTTTCTTGCCATAAGTTCTAATATCATTCATGGTTTGTGCAATTCCTATGCAACCAGTCTGCTGCTAACGGGTATTAACAGTGTAGTACCCACAAAGCGGGTTATTAGTTCTCGTGTTCTTCACTTTCATTTCAGTTCAAAGCATGTTGCTTTATTGTGTGGAAGATCCAGTCCATTTTTGTTGTCCAGCCACCATGGTGAGCATCATTCATTTGCTTCATGAAGTACTCAAGAGCTTCCTGCTCAGTTTTGTCCAATGCAAGGGTCTTCCGAATGTACGCAATATCATCAAAGGACTGCAGTTCTGGCATTCCTGAGCCAAGCATCATGGAGAAGAGATTTATGAACAGATTGGCATGCTGCCGAATTGCTAGATAAGCCTTGTAACACATCTCTTGAAACCTGGAAGAGATAGAAAAGAAAAACCACACCCACAAAGAGACAACACTCAGTATATTGCCTTGTTAGATGCATTTTCTTTTTCACCTCTAAAAAGATTTTCAAGCAACTATATACAGATAAAAGGTTGACATTCATAGTTTAACTAAATCCAACAAATGTTCAGACATCCTTATCTTCCTTCTTAGATTATTTTAACTGCTGTAAGACTTAGTATTGGTCAGACTGGTACAACAGTCAAAATTTCCAGCCTCAATTCTCAATTTACGCAAACGTTCAACAACTCTAAAGGGGTACACAGAGCCTTTTACTTATTTGTGGCAACATTTCAGATCATAAAGCAAGTTTCCTGATCAACTGCTGTGAACAGTGCTTCCCTGGTGATCATCAAGGAGAGATACACTTCTGTCCCACACTTCTATGAAGTTACTGTTCATCCTTAGCTACTCTTCAGAATGCACTGAATACAGGAGCATTTGCTCTCTTACAGCATTGAGTGTGAAATGTCTGTTTATGTGAAACAATTAAAGGTCACCAGAATTGCATTTTATGTGTTATAGAATTTAAATGGTTTTAGAAAGGTACTTACCTTTCAAACTCCCTTGTTTTGGTGCATTCTTGGGCTCCTTTACTAATCACTATTAAAAAGTCCTGTGTTAAGACAAAGGGCACACGCTCTCTTTTGTAGCCAAATTTCTTCTTCTTGTGGTCAAGGAAGTGGCCAAAGTCAATGTGAAACAGCTTGGAAAGACAAAAAGGCGTTTTAAGATTAGTAATTCCTCATTTAAAGGATGTAATTGTAAAATTGCTCATCCCTCATATTTCAGTTTTTTTTTTTAAACAAACATCAAATTGAAAGGTTATACTGGGCTATCTATGTACTTGCAAAAATAGATCTTACTTGTCCATCATCTTTCACCATGATGTTACTGTTGTGGCGATCACCAATGCCCAGTATAAAGGTAGCAACACAGTAGCCAGCACAAGAACGTGTAAACAAGTCAATAGCTGCATCATACCTATGGAAAACAAAGAAAACATATTGCTACATACACTCTAATAATACAAAATTATCAATTCATTTATTTAAAAGGTATGAACCAATTTTACCATTTTCACTCCATGCAGTAGAGTTTCTAGACTTTACTGAAGGAAAAAATTCAGCACACACTAGACATAGAAGTACTTACAGTTAAGCATATGGAACAATAAACAAGCTGTTAAAATGACAGTCTGTTTTGTAAAGACAGGGACGAGCTTTCACTTGGAGGAACTACAGTTAAGCCACGTCACCTTAATTCTGCCTTCACCTTGCTTTACTGTTGAGAAGTCATATGACTGCTCAAACTCATTAAATACAAAGAAAATACAAATAGGACTATTAGGCAAATGAGAGCAGGGAAAAATACAGGCTATTTCCCATTTAGATACATTTTAGTTCTCTTGAAGCTTCCATCAAAAAGAGCAAGAGAACAAGGAAAACCCAGCAACAGGAAATCTCACATTTCTCCTTTGTTCTTGTCCTTGAGCCACTGATGCAAGGTATGGCTGTTGAACTGCAATGCTCCCTTTAAGCCTCCTTTACACTGAATCTGCATGATCGTATGAGAACTTCTCACTACCTCAATGAGTCCCACGCAGTCACCAATAGACAAACAACCGTAAGGCAACATCCTGTAAGAGAAAGGATTTTTTTTTTCCAATAAAACATTTTAAGACAGCGAGCAAAAGGCGTTGTTCTATGATCTTGACTACTCAAGTGTTATGTTATTGACTTTAGGATATGAAAATCTGATTTAATGTTTTACAGGTGTGTTATATATTGTCACTGGTCCTGTGAAAAAAGCATAATGGACATTAGTCCTGTAACATGTATCCACTGTATCCAAACCCTGTATCCACCAGTGTTACTCTTCAGTTTTGTATCAGGATAAGATTTTTCCTTAAACTTTTATTAATGCATTTTTGGAAGCCTTGAGAATCCACTGGAGAAGCCTCTTAAGAAAGCATGCAGGATAATTTGACAATATCTATTCAACTATATTAAAACTGAAATACTAGAGTCTGAACCTAAGCATTCAGAAAGTGAATTTTGGGACTTATGAATTCCTTTGCAGAAGTAGCAGGTAATACATTGTGTTGCCAGCATGGAATGTTCAAAATGAGTTTTCAAGTAGCACCTGCACATAATACAAAATTGTAATTGGAATCTATAGGCAGCACCATTATTGTTCATCCAGATATTAATGGACTAACTATACCCAGAAAGCCTTTTACTCATGTGCTCTTCAGAGTTCATAAAGTATTCCGTAATCTGTAAGTGAAACTCAAAGGATAGACTCAGTAACTTATTTCTTTTTACAAGTAGATATTACTTGTTATCTCCTCCTTTCTCCCCTCCCCACAGTTCTCTGCCCCATCACCAAATCTGCATTTCTTCTGTCAGTTTCATTTGAAACATTTTTTCTGTGAGAAGTCAAAGCAGTCTTATTCAAACACTAAAAGTAACAACCATTATCATGTTTAACACCCTCTCTTAAAAGATTTCAGAGAGTCGTGCTTCTAAGGAAACCCTTTTCTCTCCTGAACTTTCTTTCCTTATGAGGGTAAAAGTATCTCTCACTAATAGAGGAAAACAGCCTTCTAGCTACACTGGAACATCAGTTTTTTGTGACAAAAAAAAAACACACAACAGTAACACAAATCAGCAACAGTTAGTTTGATCTAAGAAACTGGAACACCAGTGCAGTGAGTAACCAAACCAGCAGCAGAGCTAACCACTGGTGTTGCCATGGAGGTAAGCTTCTCTGCTCTGGTTTATAAGTTGTTTATTTGCTGAAGACTATAAGTTTGATAACCTATTCAAAGCAAATGCTACAGATACCATCAGCAGACTACAGGGTGGCTTGTTTGTGTGATCGTAGCCATTCCTGATATGTAGATCCCTCACAGCAACTTAAATGAGACAATCATTTTTCAAACCAGATAGGTAACTTCACAGAACCCAGTTGTTTAGCTAACTGAAAGTCATAAAAAATCCTCTTTAAAATATACAAAAGTATTCATACTTATTGCATTTTACTTACTACCTTTGGGTAGTAGAGAAGTATTCTCTAGTAACAAACCAAAGCATAAACCATTAGGAACAGAATTGTTTAAGAATGACCTCTAATGCTTACCGAAGATCAAGACCTTGGTTTTGCCAAATGTTTTCCATAATTCTAATTATCTGAAGTGTCAGCATGTCTTGACGTAAGTCTAGAATAATCAAATAGATAAGACAGCAAGTTTCATAACACAGGATACTGCCACATCTTACTTCTTTTAGAAATAACCACTTTTGAGTGGTAAAGTGTAATAAGGTTCATATAGATGAATGGAGGTTTTATTCTCTCAAGAAAAGAATGGCTGGTAGGTAGGTGAGAATGAACATGAACTTGTGGTGGCAATTTTAAAGCTGTTTAAAAATACATATTAAAACATAACAATGGAATTGTCGTGTGACCCTTACCATCTCCATTTTTAAAGATTATCTCATTGTTCTGAAATAGCAATTCAGACATAATATCTGGGTTTTCCCAGTTTAACCACAGGGGTCTCTTTGCAGATGACATTATTCTGCACTCCTCAAGCCTATAAAAAAAGATATATATGAAATAAGGATATTTAGATTCTCATATTGTGTTTCCATGATATTACAATCTCCATTTTCTTCAAAATATTTGAACAGGTATCAAATTAAGTAATGCACGGAGAACTGAAGATCTACCACTGTTTTCATCTTGAAATTTATATTAGTAACTGCAATGCTAATCATTGGCTAGCCACAAGTGAAGAGTTAGCTACACTCATTTTTCCTTTGGCAGCAAGTGTTCCTTACACATGGAAAAAGGGCCACAGTTCCTACCTTCTAACGGGAACAGCAAGCTATCATGTTGTTCTCTAATTTATTACATCATCGCACAGAAACTACTTCACTTAAATAAACCCAATATTTAGTATGTTAGCATTTAACTGTGATGTTGTTGATGTTAACCTTACTAAGCATTTACTTAGTTATCTGGGTACATTTCAGAACTGAAGACAATACCGAAGATTTCCTAGTTGATGAGCAGGATTAAGAGGAGAGATAAAGCCTTGTAAAGCATCCATAAAATCTGGACGTCTCATTTGTTCAACAAGAAACTTCATCTGCACCTAAAAAAAATTACATTCAGATTGTAAGAACACTGACTAAATGTAGAAGATAAGAATCAGGTTTCAGCTTTTGTTTTAAGCATGGTTTTGCACAATTCCACTATCAGCAACTCTGCTTTGCCACAGGTTACACAAATCAAAGCTCTCAACTCAGGTTCCATTAGCTTAAGAGACAGACAATAGCAAGGTGCACACAAAATACTACAGCTTCAAAGATACTGCCTACTGAAGTTAGTAGTATAAATACGTTTCTAGTTAATCCAGTAAAATAGTTCTAGTGATTCCTACGACTAAGTCACAAAAGTTTTGATGTGTGGACAGCTTAAAATACCTTCTGGGTCTCATCTTTCTTTTCCTGCTTGAGAATATCTGTGAGGTTAATCAACTTCTCCATAGCCTCCACCTGCCTGCTCAGATGCTTTAGGTACATTCCACACGCTCGACAATAGGACTCCAGAAGTAAACCAAACCTCTGACTTACAGTTTTATTGTGCATTTCAGACCTACACGGAGAGGAAGAACAGTTACAGCTTTAAGACAAGACCACTTACAGGTGCCAAAAAATGAAACTATACTGTAACACCTTTCTGAAGGCTGCCTATGGGTCCTTCCCAGTTACGTAACTTGTGTTGGCCTCCCACAGCTCATCTCATTTTGACGTAACTGATCAGCAGAGTTCCTTACTTTTTACAACTAACCCAGCAGTTTTCACTCTTCCTTTTCTCTTAACCCCATTCCCCTTCTTGCTACATCCTGTCCTTCTCTGTTAACTTTATTCAAAATCCATGCTTGTCAAAAAAAAACAAACCAACCAACCACTAAGCCTCCAGTTTCACTTCAAGTTCCAGCTTTCTAAGCAGTTTAATCTTCTCCTTCTGTCATTAATCCCAGGCTAGTTACTTTGTTCTTAACTACTCTCAAACTTCACATCATTCTACATCCCCTCATATAAATTAGTCAGCCAAGATATTCCATTATCCTTGGTCATTATTAAAACAGGTAGAAAACAAAGATTTCTTATTTCTATGTCTTATCTTTAGTGTTTCATCTTAGAACAGCATTTTCAGATGAGATCTGGATACAACTCAGAATGCTGAAATTGAGTTATATTCAGCCTTCTCAACAATAGAACTTACGAGAAGCCATGCTATACTTAATACAGAAGAACAGGGATATTTTGGCTATCAATCTCTGTGGTCTTTATAAGAATTTACGAACCATAATTTTTCAAAGGTTTATCTGGTCTAGTTGTGTGACTTGCTTTGGGCCTCAGCTATTTGTAAAATGCACAAAGATGTTACAGCCTTCTAAAGACAAGTCTGCAGAGATAGGGATTTTTCAGGAACATTTTTCCATGGCTTTCTGGCTTAACTTCAGAAGTAGCTCAGTTTTGGAAAAAACTGCTCAGAAAGACTGGTGGAAGGTTCTAGAACAGAGATCTGTTATAAGTTGTATTATTAGCTGCTTACAGGAAGCTTCCAGCTATCTTAGACACCCCTGCTTTTAGAGTAACTGCTATTAGAGGAAAGAATCAAAATGAAGCAGATGATATAAAGATTCATAATCTTTTACTAATTTGCTTTAAAAACTGCAATGAATGCATTCTATTATCAAACTATGCATTCAAACTCTTAAAATAAAGTTTGCTTTTTAATTGTCAAGTGGTAATATTTCCCAAAAGAAAAGCATGTAGCATACGGAACTTTTTTTTTTTAAAGCTTGTAGGAATCTTGTCACTACTCAAGATTTATTAAGCTTACTTTAAATGCCAGAAGAAGAAGTGTCCTATCCGTTGATTGGTCAGTGCCTTCTTGAGTAAAAATCTCACCAGTTGATTATCTAAGTACTGTTCATATTTCAGAACCTAGTTAAGGACAAAGAAAATTTGGAAGAAAATTAGCTGCAGTTATTTTTGCTGAACAGCATATAGATTAAGACAGTTAAATAAAACACAATTCAAGTTTGATATAAAAATTTTGTAGGCTGCCTGACCTTGGTATTTTAATACACACATTAGCATTTAAAGAATATCCGCTAACAGAGTGCACAGACTGCTTTTATTTCAAAAACTTACCATCTGATGCTTCCCATACTGTTACCAAATATTTTAGCTTCAGCATGCTTAACATTGTAAAAAAGATGCTTCTGTTCGTGTGTCACCATATGCAAGACAGCTGAAACAGTTGCCTGTTCCAGTTGGTAGAACAGTTCTGCATCTCTGCAGAATTTTGACATTTCATACCAACACCAGAAACCAGAGCACAACAGAAAAGTAACTTTCATCTTTCAGAGCTCCTCCTAATGTAATTTGCACTGAAAACAGGATTCTTATATTTTCCACAATGACTTAACTTTTCTTGTATTTTAAATTTGCGTAATTATCAAATGTACGTAAGACATCGAGAATACCAAAATGTTATATACCTGTACTAGCTGGATTAAGTACTGAGACAGCTTGTCATCTGTTAAGTACTTCTCTAGACACCGAACTGCAAAGGCTCGCACCATTGGATCTGGATAATTGCAATCCAAAAGCTCCATTGCTTGCTCTGGCTTGATTGGAGGCCAATCTTTCACCAAACAGTACATCTGTGGACAATGAAGTCCAAGGACATTATACACACTCACACTGAAGAGGAAGATGTTGTAATACACACCCAATAGAAAGTATAACCACACAAGCTGCTGCTGAATATAAGCTGTTTGTCATTCACTTCTAAAAAATAGTTTGGTATTAGTGCCAGTTGACTTATTTTATCCACTCTAAAAGAACAAAAACAAAATCTCACATTGAAATAATACTCAGCATCATAGCAAGGATTCAAGTAATGCCACCAGAAAAAAGCTAAGACTCAGATTGAACTTAAGAATGAGAACACAAAACCTTTCCTGGAACAGACAAATGGATTGCATACAGCAAATACAAAACGATCAACTAGTTAAAGAGGCAACTCAAATTATCTGTTTTCATTCAACATATCATAAGAACTTATGTTATTTTACAAAAAAATACAGATTTTAAAGCTTCTTCAGAACTTAAAACTTCTTCAGTGACATTCGTTTGTTACCTGAGCCACTTCATCTCTAGAATTCCATTTAACAGACAGAAGTAATTTGGGCAGAATTTCCGGGGTATTTACGCAATAGTGTCTGAAAAAGAGAATGAAGGTTGTTTGTACAAAGTGTCATTTTTGTTTTGTGCATTCGCTTTTGTTTTTCCTCAGTACCTGTGGCTCCAGAGGAAGTCCTTCTCTTGCTCAGTGATTTCAGACAAGGGATCCCGTGTACATATGGCTCGCAGTTGCTCCTTGTCACTTTCTCTTAATTCATTGTCTCTAGCTATTCTATTACTCTGCAGAGAGAAAGTGGTCCATTAACCCTCCTCATTCTACAGTCATACAACGTAGAAGTACTCTTACAGCGCAGGAACATTTATACGACACAATACCACTTTGTTGTTTCCTTCTACCATAAGTGAGGACTTACAAGCTTAAAATAGAGAAATTGAAGACTAGGCCTTTGATTTTCTATAACTGCTTTTATTCACTGCTGGGACAGGAAGTACAGTTCACCAGTCAGCTTTGTGGAGAAATAGTAGTTGGCATGTGATGAACAACAGCAGCCTAGCATGGCACAAAATGAAACAGGTCACTTCTGTCTCCAGTTTTGAGATTTCTAAGAACTGCTGAATGGGCTGAAAGAATCAGAATTGAAAAAGCAGAGTACAGGAGGGTGAGGCTAGGTAAGTAAAGGTAGAACACTGTAGGAAAGCTTGCATAACAGAATGACCAGAAAACATTAGCCAGAACTAGTGTAAAATACTCCCTAAAGAGCAGAACTAGCTAAAATTCATTTCAGCATGTACTAAGACTTCCTACTAGAACCAGCTAAGACCAATGACAGAGATATTGATACTACAGCTTAAATATTTCATAGCCAAGTTCAGTTTTCTTTTACGTCTCCGATTTCTTACTTCATATTTGTTTTTTTGCAAAGCAACACTGAAATGATGCAATCTCTAACATCTCCATGACAGAATCAATTAAAAGGGAAAAAAGCTTAGGCTGCATTACTGTGTTTATATATAATAAAACTGTAACAAACAAGTCTGACACTTAAGATGAAGTATCCAAAAATTTTCCAAAAATTATATGCAGATTGAACAGTGTTATTAAAATGAACTCATTTTGACTTGTGTACAATACTGACTTCTACAAAAAAAAAAAGAAAAAAGGAAGAACAATCAATTTTATTAATGTTCAAAATGTCTGAACTGTAGAATGCTTCAAGAATAGAGAGAAAAAACACACAGTAATGATTTCCTGTTCTGCATTTTTCTTATTTCCATTAAAAATATACAAAGCAAGAATGAGCTGGGCTTTCTCAGCTAGTTTTATTGATGGTGATTTTCAGCTGACTGAACTGGTACTTTTGGAAAAGAGCCATCTGCCTGGCTTTTATAGAAAGTCAAATAAACACCAAACAGAAACTGAAGAAAGGAACAATCTGAAGTTTTCAGACAAGAGGTCAAGGCACCTCTTAAGAGGTAAAGTGTGTTATTTCTAAGAATACAAGCAATACAGCAACAGTTGTCAGATTATGGCAACATGGCATATACTACAGACTCAGTTCTCTATATTCACGTTCTCGTGATGTGTTCATTCCTATCACACAGGACAAAAATATTCCTGCCTTCAAGCTTCCATCTAACGCTATTACTTCAGAGCTTTTAGCACCTTTACCTGCTAGCACTGTGATAGTTGGCAGCTCAGTGCACCAACATGCTCATTTATTAGCATTCTGAAGCACATGGACAGGACTCAAAAAGAAAAAAAAAGAGGGATTCAAGACTGCTCTGTTGCCACATGGAAGTTTCCAGAACGTATTCTAAAATATGTTTACATATGCAGTGCAAGTAGCAAAGCTAGAGACATTCAGTAAGGAAGTGAATGGATAGATGACTTTAGAAGCACCGCAACACTTGATCAAATTGATGATACAGAGCAAGCAATTAATTGTTCATATGCATCTTGATTTTGAATTACCCTAAATTGTAGGAGAAAGTCACTAAAGTATAAAATATACTTGCATAATGGGTCAGAAAGATAATAGTTTAAGTCAAACCAAGAAGAAAAATTTACCCTGTTGCAGTCAACATCAGAAACTTGAAATTTTAGAGTTGTGGGACAGTAAATTAGATTTAATATTTGAAAATTGTTTCATGTCCAAAGTAATAATGAACTTATATAAATTACACCTTATGCAGAGTGCAGTAATTGATTTTAAATGCAGTATAATGCACTTCACGGTAACCAAAAAGTATAGTTATGTTCTCTGCATTATCACAAACATCTATATAGAAATCATACTTCAGTGACTGCTTGGCTAATTTTGACCGTTTCAAGCGAGCATTCTACAGCTTTCAGATAAGGCTGGGCAATGCTTGGTACTCTAGTATCTGATTTGAAATATATACTGTATTGCCTTTTACCTCCCTAACTAAAGGAGTGCTAAGAGTAGCCATAAAAACACACAATACTTGAACATAAGTATGGCCTGGGCCCTCAAACCTGAAGATACCACAAATTTAAAGGGAACAATCACAGTACAGTTCAAACCTACCAAACATTTAAGAATTGGGAAAGGATGAGTAATGAAAGAATTTTCTGCAGATGAGCCTACAAAAAATGGAATTGCAATGAAGAAAACAGTATCAATGAATGAAAATTACAACTTTTCTGAAGTTAAACTGAGTACTTCAGACACCTGAATCAATTATTTAAATATGTCAAAAACATGCTCACAGATAGCATGGTAAGACAGTTTCTTTTCTAAATGCTGGTCAGTAATAGATTAAGATAATCTATCACTAGCATACTGTGGAAAAAAAGGCAGCAAATACTTTGATATTTTAGTAACTATTCTTGGAAAGCAAGTTCTTCTTACCAGTCCCGCATAGCTGTAATTAAAGCCCAGTTCACGTGAGATTGTCCAATTGGCATGCTCTTCAATCACTGTCATATCTGGAAACTTCACAGGATTGCTAAACCAATCAAATTCCAGCTCTAAACATGGAGTTTCCTATGTAAAGGGAATTTAGATTACTTCTGTTGAATTGTACTAACTAGAATATAGCATATTTTGAATACACATTCATTCCTGAGGAGGCAGTTCATGTGCACATACTTACCTTATTCGGATTTGATCCAGTAACACCAATAGGATTCAACAAATCCTCCAGTCCATGGGGTACTGCCCAAAGATTCAAAGCCATTTTCCCAGATACAAGAGTGTCTGTGTAGTCAAACATGTTTATATTTCCCCAAGCCAATGGACAGTGCTCCTTAAAGAGGTTAAAAGGCGATTTTTCAGTTTCAACTTTTAATTGTCGGATATACATTTTCAAAAAAGAAACATTAAAAAAAATAATAGGGATTCACCACAGCTTTAAGTACTTACTAGGTCCCTCCCAACCAAATATTTCTTATTTCCATCTGTGCAGTAGAGAGATGTTATCAAAACCAAGTTATTCTGATCTATCATAAAATAAACAGCGGGCTGCTTTCCACGCCTTTAAACTCTAGCTGATAGTAAACCAGCAGGTCAAGTAAAAAAGATAAAATTACGTTAACAACGAACGGCATGCTTTGTGGACTCCTTTGCTACTTCAAGCAGTTTAGGATGGGGAAGGACAGAAACAGAAACTGGACTTCAGAAAACACTGAAGTACATAACCTTGCTAACATGAATACCACTTTGCTTGGGCAACTGAAGCTGGCAGTAAGCAAACAACTAAAGAAGTATCATTATATCAGAAATTGCTTTCTGTTTCTTTTGGCAACACTTGTTCAGGTCCACTTTTGTCTGATAAGCCACATATCTAGCACACCACTTCATTGTTGTGGAACCACTGAAATTGATCTCTGACATCAAATCTCTGATTGTGAGTCACAAGAAACAACATTCTTATCTAAGAGCAACTTGTTACATTTCCAGATTAGCAGAATGAAAGTTACAGAAGTTGTATTTTCTTCCTATGTATTCGGACCTCAAAAGACTACCACTGAGTTTTCCAGCCAGCAACACAGCACTGATATGATTTAGTGTTGAATGGGCAAGCTTCTTTTTGTGGTTTAAAATAACACTGACAAATGAATGATACATAAGAAAAATCCCTATTTTAATCAGATTCAAATCAAACATCACATTGAGACTAATTACCAGAACAGCAATTGCCAAATATCTTCCCAAACTTTGCGTAACCTCTGCTTGATAGTTTACTAAAGCTATGAAGCACTTTACCTCTTTAGCACCCTTCCGGCCTTTAACAGAACAGATAGAAAGGCAGAGCCGAGCAGCACGTGGAAGATCAGGAATGTACATGTCATACAACAGCCATTCATTCCATCTGCAACATTTAAAAAGCAGATTAAAATCAGCTAAAAGACACTGTTAGACAACTGCATGCAATCAACTGTTATACTAAAAACAATGTTATATCCCTAAAAATAATACTGTTAATTCCTAAAAGTAAAAAACAAGATAAAATGTAACAGAAATCTAATATTTCTGATGTCTGGCCACATTTCTCTTGTGCACAATAAACACTATAGAGAATAACAATTTTATTTTTGCTAATATATTATGCTTGGTGTAATTAGAACTTGACTGTAGAAAAATGTTTTAGAACTGCAATTTACAGAGCTAAGTAATAAAATGACACATTGCTAACACTTCTCCTAAATTTAAGGGGAATTGTTGAATATATGGATGACATTCCTCAGGAACAGTGATACAAAACAACACTGCTATAGCTGCATAAAGAAAGGAAAACCAAAATTGCTAGCAGCAATTGGACACTTTCCAAAAGCTTGCTTAATTCTACTTGACTGTATTAACTATGTTGCTTTTAAAATGGTAAATAAATGCAATAGGAAGCAATTAGCAGTCAAAATGCAAGGAACTGCAAAATCACAGCAGACAAACATGTTACCGCTTTAAATGACTGCCTATTGTATCACTAATTGGAATACAGTCTCATTTAGTTGTGAAAGTAAAGGTTTCCTCAAATCCTTTTTACATAATGACAGGTTTGCTATCCCACAAGCTTGTAATGCATTAGCAAAACAGTACTCCATAGAAGGAAATAAGCATTTTTCCACTGCACTTATTCCTTAAGCACTCCAGAGCCTGGTACGCAGTCACTGTTTCTCCTACTTCATTGCCATATAGTCCCTCCATCGTTATGTAGTAGTTTGAACATGAATAATCAAACTAGTGCTTTCATTCTGCTCTTGGCTCTGTAGTTCTATGATAAGACTGTTGAATTAACTCAGATATCACTCTATTTATCATAGTAATAAGAGCACAGATTAGTTCTAGAGGAATATATGTTCATGAACTTCTTTAAGAAATTCTTTAAGAAGAAACTTCTTTAAGAAGAACTTCTCCCTCAACATGCACAACTGTGCTTTTGAACTGCTAACTACAGTTATTTTCTCAGTTGGAAGTAGCAGGAGCTTCCAAGGACACCATGAATTTTTTCTTACGTGTTACTTTCAAATATTATGTATCTGTGTTTAACAGCATCCATGTTTTCCAACCATGTCCTTGACCATCTTTCCCATAACATTCTCCCTCAAAAACAGCTATGCTTGAACAAGAAGTTTAACCATCTGTGGGATAAGCAGGAGGATTAAGCTATTTTTTCTAAAAACCTGCATGTATCATTGTGCCCTCTAATGTTAATACCTAATCATATTTACAGTAAACACTCTGAAACCTCCAAAGACTTGAAGGCAGACAGAAAATGCAAGTCAGAACGTATTTTTGAACACACATATCACATCTAATCCTAGCGGATGCTAACATTTCACACCTCTTTATTCAGAGTTACAGGCAAAAATTCAATCTCTTAAATATTTGTTCTCTGTATGCTCACATACACTCATATAAAGCTTCTTTTCACACACTAATAGCACTTTAAAGTTCATGGGATTTATTTATTATTATTTTTTATGATAAAATTCACAGCAGGTCAAATCTTCTGGAAACAATCAGCCCAGACCTGGCAGTCACTTTCACATTACCAAATGATTCCCATCAGTGCTTCTGCTTTAGCACATGCTCTGCAACCGCACTGGAACAAATGTGTGGATTGCATTACATCACATGGCCTCTTGCTGATGTTGGAATCTGAACCTGCAACTGGAACACCAGCTGTAGATCCAAAGTGAAAAACAGAGCTAGACTGCCCAGAGCTATGCTGATTTCATGGTACTAAACAGTAATTACATAGGAGTTTCAGAGGCAATCATGAATGTTTATGTAAAACAGACCTGGTCAATACAGGGACTATAAATGTTCTTCAGCTAAAGTATTGCCAGCAATGAGATATACCTGAATAATGTTATGCAGTGCCTTCACTTCTTCAATACTATAATTCATAGTGCCCCAAAAGTCAGGTTCTCTACAGTTTTTCTAGTATCTCACCTGGGATTAGAACAAGGTACCCTCTGAGTATTCACATTGTCACATAAAGGTTCTCCTCCATGGTAGATACCTGTTCTAACGTAGATCTGAAAGTAATGTTAATATCAGTACTATTTTTGAAACTCCACTATAAACAAAGTTTTCATTCCTATCAACATACATTATGATTACAATACATTGCTTTCTCCTTTCTATTAAAGAAAACACCCATCAATACTTCACCTCAACAAACAAATAAAAACAGTTTCACCACCACTCCTCAACCCAAATTTATTCATGCTCTTCAAGTAAGTAAGTATACTCCTATGGGAAAAAAAAAAAAAAAAAAAAGGTTTTGATCTTTTTCCTCACTACTGTTGTAGAAGTACTTCTTAAAAATACACTAATGAACTTGAAAGGAACTTCTAAAAACAAATTGGAATGACGAATTCTTTATGAGCCAAACCACAGAAAGAAAAAAAAAACAAATAAATTCTGGGTGAGGTAGAGACTTGCCATATGACTTCAGCAGGACTAAGCTGCACACGCCTTTTCTCACTGATCTTCTCATACCTCCCCTTCTAAGAACAAAGCTAGCAGCATGCCATCCAGCATCTTCTCGTCAGATGTATTCTCACTTACTGTACAATATGCTTGAATATGTTCATAGTTTAAAATGTGGAAGATAGCACATCTATTATGAAGTCAGCTGAAATAAACTAGAGCACTCCTTTAGCTGTATACCACGATCCATGCATTTTTCAGAAGTATACAAAAACATGTGGATTTTAGAACATGGCTCTGTTTTTCAAAATAGAGGGCTGAAATTTAAATAACAAAGTGGTCTAATCTTCTAGCATTGGAAATAACACCTCTTTTCTAATGTAATTATGGAAAAGAGAAAAAAGCTTTTGTGTGTCAAAAGCTACATATAATGCTATACAGCATTTGCCTTACCTTGTCAATGTCTCTAATGTTCACATTTACATAGGTTGCACAGAGGATTCTTATTCTGAGAGCACTGTTTATAGTCCAGAGCGATTTGGCTGTAGCTTCTCCATTCATGTAGGGTGTAGCTGTAGAGATGCGCCTGGAGTAAGATGGCATTGTAAAGGTATCCAGTGGCAGCTGGGTATATAGACTTTCTTTAGCCATCAGCATCAGATTGGGCATGCGACCAAGCATTATACAACTTCTTATGTACTGTAAGAAAACAAAACCAAAATTCAGTATATTTTCTAAGCGCATGCTCCTGGTAATCACTACCTAAAAGCATTCAGAATAACATAAAAATAAAAGCATACTTAAAGAGCTCAGGTCTGTTCCTTTACGTAAATCCTTCAGTGTTTTTTGTTGCAACATTCAACAGTTTAAATACATGATGGGGTAAAATGGCACAGCAGTACTTCGAACAGATTTTTGGAGGTATGAACGTTGCCTACAACAGTTGAAGGCTTAACTGCAGATACAGAACAGAGCTGGCAAAGACAAGTGTCTCGTAGGGCTCTTAAGCTCAGGCACAGTGCAGAGAACAGTTCCAGATTAGGGATGTTCCCAGAAGCAGGTTAGCTATCTTCTGCCTTCCATACTGCAGTTATAATGTACTGTACCAACCTAGCACATGTGCCTCTAACACTCCTAGCCACAGTTAGAAAAAGAACAGGGAACATGCAGAACTGTTCATTTTTTGTTCAGAAACTTTTCAGCTTTACCTCTTTACACTGATCTTGCCACACTCAAGCCTGTATTGCGTCTGCTCAGGAGTGACTGCTGAAAGTATTTCATTTGGCAACAGTACTACAAAGTGTTAAGATAGGGTCAGCTCTGGACTGTAATTAGTAAGCTCTTCCGTGGCACAGACAGGCATACCAGATACTTTTGAAGCAGCCACACTAGATCAAATAGGCCTAGTGTTTGATCTCATGACTGCACAAAATTAGTCACATATGCCTGCACTTCTTCCCCAGCTTGCATAATATTAAGTTCCTTTTCCCAGTATCAGGATCCCCCATCCCCCTTATCTCCTCCATAGCTCTGAAGAGCAGACTGTCAACCATTTTAGATAGAGGAATGGGAGCTGTTATTACAACAGCAGGTTTCTCAGAGAGATAGCAACAGCAGTCTGTCAGGAAATATACAGGGTAACATTGTCTACTTCAGAAAGGACTGCTCTCAGGCTCTTCTGCCAGTTCTGCTACAGGTACAACACTAAGAGAACAAAGACACTGAAGGATGGGTAGCAACAAGGAAGATTTAACTGATAAATATGGTACTGGAAGTTTACCACTCCTCTTTCATAAGATCAAGAAGTTTACTGATGTAATCAACAGTAAGCCAAGAGAGCTTGCTTATTTTTTTTCCCCAACCCCTAAAGCAGGGAGGGAGAAGATTCACAGAGTAATTGTTGCCTCATAACTCAACATCCAATTTAATTTCTTTTTGCATTGCATCAGCCCCATTCAAATGTTATTCATCTCTTGCCATCAGAAATGTAGTATACTTCTCAGAGAACCTACCACTGATTTATTGCTCACATTAGAGCAAAACTGCTACTGTATTTTTTTTAAAGTTGAATGAATGACATAAATTCTACTTTAAATTACCTTCCCTGGCCACATACTGAAGCACATACAGCAACAAATACACTCTTGAGTCAGATACATATAAGCCAATTACCCTAAAGAAACAGATTTTTACTTTCTTTGTTTTTGTCTATATATAATGAGACTGATCACTTTTCTCCCACACACATTAGGATTTTTTCAGTGTACTTTAAAATGAGTTCATTATGTTACTCACCTTATACTGGCTCAGAGGATATTTTTCTAGCAGGTATTCATCACAGCCACACACTTTCAAAATATACTTGCCCTGGTACTCCAACACGCAGAGCTTCAGTTGTTCAGATGACAGCAACATACTTCGTGTTTTCTTCCTAATTGCTTCAGCAATAACTTGCTCAGGCACACAGTCATGATTGATTTTTAAGGTGTACTTCTGCTTATCATTGTTAGGTGAAACTATTACCCATATCACCACTATTATTTGCCCTAAAATAAATACAAAATGTTAGGCCTATCATTTTCAGCAAACCATCACCCCTTCACACCCTAAAGAAACAAAGCCACATAGAATTACTACTACAAGATGACAAAATCAAGATTCATAGCCCAATCCAACAGAAGATTGATAACTTCTGCGAGGAACTAGATGCCCTAAGCTTATTTATGATTCAAGTGTAAATTCAAACTTTTACACCTTGGGATTAAGAATGTTATACATCAAATACTACTGACAATTCATAGAATCACAGAATCATAAAATGGCTTGGGTTGGAAGGGACCTCAGGGACCATCAACCTCCAACCCCATTGCTACAGGCAGGGCCACCAACCTCCATATCTAACATTCAGGCTTCAAGAAAACAGTAGTAACTGTTCCATGAATTTACTAGAATAGCAAAAAAGTAATTTTAAAGTTTTGCTGCTCGCCTTCTGAACCTACATTCTATTAAGCAAGTTTTTCTGAACAACTCAGGGTTATTATACTGCTGCAGTGTATCAGATATACTACATAAATCAGTGATTTGCTTAAGTCACCAGTTGTGTTTTTTTTATCTCAATCACAGAAAAATATTGTGCCTACAGTAAATATTTATCTTACCTTTATCTAGTTTATTGTATATGTGTTTGGGTAGCTCAGGTGAAGACTCTACATTTGGAGGACAGACATACAATGCTCTACTGTGCGGAGCATTGGCATCTCGAAGATCTACTGCTTCTTTACAAACATTAAGAATATTTCTTCTGAAATCTTGTACTTCAGGATCCTTAACCATGTCAAACTCACAGATGGGCATGCCAATAGCAAAACCTACAATGTTGCAGAAGCATGGAAAAATAATTACAACAGATAACTAAATTAAACTAAAGATTCCTTCTACCACTGCTTGAAAAAAATACATTTAAAGCAAAATACAACCTACAATATTTGTGTTAACCACTGGCTTCCACTTCATATACAAATTGTTTTTATGTCATTCAAGAACAAAGCAGTAATCACAAAAAAGGTTAGAAGCCTGATACATTTTCACTGAAAATCCTGCAAACCTCAAATTACCACTTTCATTGCTAATAACTCTCAGGGAGGAAAAGAATCAGTAATCAACTTTTTTGAAGTCAGCAAATAAAGTTTTTTGAGTGGACCACAAGAGCTGTGGTGCCTGATTTTCTCTAAAACTCTGACAGGATCATTGATAACTATTAGAGCCATAATCAGCTCTGCTTACAACTCAATGGCAGGTCTTCACATTTTTTTTTGTGAGCTCCCATAGCAGCCTAAGAAATAATGAACTTAACTCTCGGGCAAAGATTTGCGTATTCCTCTCAACTCTTCAGTCTCAAGTCTAACTACATTTGTTTTCATTAGATTACATTCCTAATGAGTGATTCATGCATGAATGCTCAAATTTGAAAACTTTCACTTTTATCTCCACACATAGTCAGGTAGCCACTACTCTCCCCGAGTTCTGACCAGGCTACGTTTCACAAAACAGAAATCTACCCATGATGCATTTACAACTATTAAATAATTTAACAATTAGGAGCACCCCAGAACAAGTATTTCCAGTTGATAAGTCTCCACCACTGCAGCATACACCTGTTAGAAACTAAGAAAGGCAGTATCCTTGCACTAACTGAATGTAGATACTTAACCTAGATACCAAAACACATGCTAGTTTTCCTGTGCCTCCTGGATAATGGAAAAGCTCTGGGCTTCCCCAGAGATGATTCAAAACAATGTACTCAGGTGTTTTTATCATGATCCTTCCCACACCTACTAATGCTCTGTCTGAAAGGGAAGGGGGGAAGAAAAACACCTTGTTTCTCAGATTTTGCACTCTAAGCAAGACAAAGCAGTATTAAAAACTGTACCACTGCAAACGTAGCTAAATATTTGCAATTAAACCCTCCTGTACCTTTCCTTAGTTATCACTGTTCCGTAGAATTCAAAACAAATCAAGATCTGCTTCCCAAATAAAACAAGTACAAAAAGGCTTTGCTCTGTACTAATATGAAATCCTGCTAACTGGTGACTACCAAAAATATGCACTACTAACCTATATACAATTGTATATATATAAATATACATGTGTGAATGAAATAAAGAATAGTTTACAAATATTGGCTTAACTATGATCAATATGTTGGGACATTTGGTGCAACAACTCTGAAATGTAACATTTGATAGACGGAGCAAAAGGTAACAAATACAGCACATTGATTCTAGTTTCCTATTTTGAAGAGGAGAAACCAGTTAAGCAGATTAGCCATGTTTAAATACAGATAATCTCACCTATTTCTCTGTTAAGTATCTTTTCTTCTCTGTTACCTACTGGTTCAATGACTTTTAGGAAAGGCTGAAATAGCCGCAGGTCACAAAGTCTCCGTGTTTCATCAAAAAATTCTTCTCTTTCTGCTTCTTGCGTAACACTTACAAAAATGTAAGAAGATTCATCTTGAAGGAGCTGATAGAGAGGGTATTTTCTGGCTTCTTTAAAAAGTTCATGTTTGATAGTTAGTAATGTAGCCTCACGGAGGCATTCTAGAGTCACTATCATTCCGTTTGGGAGAAGACACTCCACAAGGATCCTCGGGGGCATCAAGTGGATGCCCCATAGTTCCCCAGATGATGGTCGGGGCGGCATTTTTAAGCCTTTCAATGATTTTGTACTTGAAGTTTTTCAAGCAGTGATTCGTATGAGTTAAACCTACATAAAAATCAGAGATTTAAACATTAGTATTTTAAATACAAACATCAGAATGAATTTCAGATCAAAGCTTTTCAAACATTTCTTACAGTCACAGACATATACTTTGAGGTCATCATATGTTACTCAGATCTCAAACAGTGCATTACTAATAATCTCATTAAATTCAGCATTTGTGTTATGAAAAATTCCTTATAAGAAAAGGCAATACCAGACTCCTAAATAACAGTCCATTATGCTCCCTCCCTTAGCCAAGTGTCCTGACAGCACAGGGCTAGGAAACTACTAGGCTGTTATTCCAAAAGCCACATGCTACGCACATACTTACATAAAAAATAATCACAATGCCCCTGTTCTTCAGTACTACTTTTCTGAAATGTTTTCTCCTGAATTATGGCCACTTTTACCACACTGCAGTTCTTAAGATGCAGAAGAACAAGAATATTTTCCCAAATGCACTGCTTCCTAAGTAACACTCAGCAGGAATAGGGTTTCTTTTTCCTTCCTTCCCCTCCTTTGTAGTTGCAGTTCGGACTTTTAAAATTACCAGCAAAGCATACTAAAGGGACACTGCAGGTTTAGAAAAATGCTTTTCCACTAACACTTCATACGTATTTAAAAGGACTAAGGGACTATGCTACTGACTTCTTTTTGAAAAACAGCTTAAAGGAGCTGTTTTCCTTGTCATTGTAATGGTCTCAGAAAAGCAGATGCTGAAATGGAAAGTTCTAAGCACACTCACAGTGTATTTGAAGAGTCAAACCAGGAAAGCTTTCAATTACAAAACATTACAAATGAACCCTGATAGAACCATTCAGAGCAACTTGAAAAACCATGAATTACTGCTAACTCAGCCTACAAATAAAAAGAAACACTGAGAAAGTTCAATGGCATCTTGTTTTTTTAATAAGGTAAAGCATAAGCAAGACACTATCTAAAATAACATGTTTTTATCTACACTTCTTAATTACAAGCATAGGTAAAAAGCACATTACTGTTAAGGTATATACCAGCATTAAAATACCAAGCAAGAATATGCAGTCGTAAGAACTTTTCTGTCCACATACACAAACAACAATAATATAGGTGGACCACAATCAAGTTAAGTATTCACAACACAGGCTGAGTTTCTACCAGCAGTCTTTTAAGTCTGGTGCCACAACCCTGGTTGGGCCTTTCTGGACTGATGGTCACGAGGGCCCATCTTCTCGCTGCCCAAGGCAGGTGTTCTCATTCTACATCATGCTGGCACCCACACTCCCCAAGCTGGCTCCTTGAAGGCTCAGCTGGATTAAAATGGCAAAGAACTACTCACTCTGCCCCTCTTGGTTTAGTTTCCACTGTTTGAACTGCCTTACTGAGAGACAGAGGTGAACACCGGGATCTATGCAGGGCAGAAAGCACTACTGCAGCAGTGCTGAGCTAACTCTCCTTCAGAAGTGATGGTTTCATTGCCAACCTTCCCTCCCTCCCCACCAATAATTGCCAACAAAGAAACAGGCAAAACTGTGAAACACACGCACACATTGAATCCTTCTGTACATCATGTTTTCAAAAGAAATGTAAACCTTTGGCTTTTGAAAAGATTATAAGGTGAAGTGCCAACTCAAGATCGTTTCTTTTAAAAGCTTGAAAATGGACCAAAAAGGACAGCCCAAATATCTACACTGCCTTTAAGAGCAACTGCCCCAGAAGAGCAGCTTTTGTTTTAAATTAGGTAACAGACGTGCTGGGTCTGTGTGTAGTCGCTGTGTGCACATTCACTTGTGCATGTAAGCACGCCTCCAGGGTTTGGATTTGGAAAGCAAAAACATAAACAGAAACAGTTTTGAAGTACAGTTGGCAGCTTGCATTGCTGTGTACACTCCATATCTGGAAGGCTGCCTGGAATAAAGAGAATCAATTATGTTCTTCGACAGTCGAAGTATAATTTTCAGAGAATTCTGAAGAGATGTTATTTAGATCCAAGTAAGGCTCCATGCAAGCACTTCAAATGAACACTGCACCACACCTGCAATCCAAAAATACCTAAAACCTTGCTCCTGAGCCAAAAGCTTTGTCAGAAAAGAAAAGCTTGAAGGCATCAGCAGATCAGACAGTGGCCTTTTGAACTCATTACCGCCTTCCTGATGTGTTAAGCATCTTCTCCATCGCTAACCTTGCTAAGCTACTAACCTAACAGATTGAATTTTAAAACTCAAAAATAATCAATATATATGGAGGAAGAAAGAGGGAAGTTCATCAGCAGATTTCCCAAAATACTTACTAATACTCGCTTGATACACTTATCATGCTGATTTATATGATCTATTTTCTTATATGATAAAGTGAAACTACAAAATTTAGTTAAAGGAATTCTAAGACACAGGCCTTCAAAATTTGTTTCAGATGAAACCCAGTACGGTGAGGTTTTACCACCACACAATAGTGAATCATGGAGAACTGAGACAGCACAGTTAACTGTACTTCATTCTGTTGACTGTTTTATTCAGTTGCAGGCTACAGTTAGCTTTCTAATGCCTTCTCCATGACATACAAGTATGTTAACTCTGAAAATATTTACCAGACACTGAAGTTTGCTGCTACTACTTCTGAGAATTCCTTCCCTCTGAGGAATGGAGGTCAGTGGAGGAAAAATTCACTAAGAGCTGTACCACACCCCAGTTAACAGAGGTTCCTAACCATAACACGTTCTGTGTTCATAACATATACAGACTTAGTTTGGGACAAATGAACTCTAGTCAAAAATGCCCATATATTTTTCCTAAAGACATCTGAGCCTACTGCAGCTGTTACAGCCACACTATCACATAAAAACCTCGTGCATCTACAGCCCTGGCAGTGCTTTTTCCACTGCAAGCATTTTTGCACACAGCATTTTGTCAGAAGACTCTCAAGAGTCTTCTGCTGGTCTCAGTTCTATGCTAAAAAGGACTGTTATCCTTCCGTACAAATGGAATCCACATCATGAAAAACAGCAAATGACAACAGAGAAGTGATCTTGCATGAGCTCCTCTATTAGAAAATCCAGACAACCTTCTTGCTAGGAGAACACTGATTTTTACAGATTAGATTAATTTTCACTGCAGAGATTGTCCACAAATATTCTACTGACTTCAGGTGGATGACAATATTTGGCTATTAAGTAACATGGTTAACATGATTTTCTTCCCTGTTTTGTAAATTTCCTGTGGAATGGCTCTCTAAAGAGAGGAGCATCACCTAACATTAACACGTGTCTTACAAAGCAGATATAAAGACTCACCATGCAAGTCTGTGGGCCAGTCCAGCAAAAAAATCTAAATCATTTTATTCACTTTAGGAGACTTATTCTGTCATCCGCCAGCACCTTGTACTACTCTTCAGGCTTTGCAAGTAGGAAATTCTCCTATTACGTACCACCTAATAAAAAAGCTAGCAAATACAGAGGGAAGAATCAAAAATGAGCTGTACAGAAACACCACATCAAAGGCATAAAACATGCGAGGCTTATGCAAAAAGATATGCATTCCAGTAACTGAAAGAGGACTGAATAATTTTGCATTGCTGTAAACATCAGCTAGTGTTTCAAAATCAATTCAGAAAGGCAGACTAAACACTCAATACAATTTTATCAGTCCGTACTTGAGACTGAATTAACCATTCTGACTTCGACACTTCAGTTGAAGACCACTGGCTTTTCCAATTGTAAGACAAACCTCATTACATGGCTGTCATAAACAGGATGCAGTAATGTTTTATAATAATTTGCACTATCATCAGTATCAAAAAGTTGTTCAATAAGATGGGTATGTAAATTTTATTTCTTTGCCAGTTGGAAGCATCTTCTAGACTTTTTTTTCCCCCTTTTGTCATCTAAGGAAAAAAAGGAATCTGCTCATTAAACAATCCAACTATGTTTATAGATTCCAGTTTACTACACAGTTGTGAGTTCTATGTTCTGTTCCAAACCAGTAGAAGAACAAAGCTTTAGCTATTTCCCCACAGTTTTTCTGTTTGTTTTTTTTAGAAAAAAAGATTCTATGGAATCCCCAAAACTAACATCATGAAAAAGAAGTTGTGTGGCAAAAGTAATAGTCTCAAGAACGCCAAAAAATCTACGTTCCATTTTGTTCCCAAAATTTCAATCTTTCAAGACCAAAATATTTTATTCTCATCTTTAGAGAACAGCTACTCCAGTGCTTACCATGAAGAAAACTGGGCCGGGCTGCTTGCCTAATTCTGCTGCTGTCCCAACCTGATGTGTGGTGGTGTGAGGCTGCCTCCGACCAGATATTTTCAGTCCCGTCCTTTTGTTCTTCCTGCTTGCCAAGCTGGCACTTCTCCAAAATCCAGGAAGACAAAGATGTCTGAAACTCCTCTATGACAACACTGTTACACACAGTAGCAGCGCTGCTTTGTTCATAACAGAAAGCAAGAGAAGACTGATGTAATGCAAGTAAATGAGTGTGAATTTCTTCTGTATTATTTACGTATGTGAATTTCTTACGTATTATTTTTGTCTTTATCCTTCCACAGAAGAGGCGCAAATACGCAGAATTTCTTATCTGATCACAAACAGCAGCTCAAGGGAAACAACGTGCAGAGGGATCTAACAACCAAAAACATCTTCCCAGCGTTTTGTTTCCTTCTGAAACAGAGAAGCAACAATATCAATGTTAGCTGCAGTTACCTACTTCTCTCCCTTTACCCCCAAGCAGCACCTCTGCATTGTTCTACACCAAGCTAGAAAAATTAATATTACTGCTGGTATTTGTAGAATTACAGCACAGAAGAAATACAAGGTCATTCTCTACTGTGAAGAGGAAATCTCACTAAGACTCTGCTTTAGTTTAGTTACATATGAGAAGATAGGCTTTATTAGATGTTTCTTTAAAGTTCTCTTGCATGCAGCTATCTTTTCATTTCTGAATCTAATATCCTTGGGTTCTGGTTGTAGTGACATTCAGACACTGTAAGTAATACCAATGATGAGATCATCCAGAAAAAAAAAGGAACTCACTACAAAGCATTGCTGGGCCATTCTGAAAAATTACTCGAGAATGATATAGTATCAGATATCAGAAGAAAAAACCCAAGATGAACAGTTGTTTTTTTCATTTGCCTGGTTTTAAAAAAGCCCAAAGTATTACTATTTTTTTTTTCCTGTAAGAAAAACAAAACACCTTCATAAATCCTAGGGTTTTGACATCACATTATTTCTATACCCCCTTGAGCAGCCTCCCCCAGCCATGCATGCACACTGTTTACAGCATCACTATCTGAGAGCCATGAAAACAAGATGACAGGAAAGAAGCATTGGCAAGTTGCTGGTGACCTCTGCAACTCCCACCATGACAGTGCTTTTTCCCTAGGGAGCCTGTGACATACCAAGAGCACAGCATCTGTCCTAGAACATTTTCTTCCAGTTTAAGGCAGATTTCTTTTCCTTTGTTAAAGAAAGCCTGGAATTAAGACTCTTTTCAGTTACAAGTCATTCAAGAATTCCATTTCTAGCTTTACCTCAAAGGATCTTGTATTTATAGAGGACTCATGGTCATACAGCACAGTGAAGAACTAGTGAGGCAATGCATCTTTATGCTTCCTTCATGTACTTATTACTCACTGCTTCATGGCTGGGGGAGCAGTGGGATGGGAAGAACTCCCATCTGAGTGCTGGGATCAGAGCCATGCTATCAGGGTCAGCATGCTGGAGCTCAGGGAGCAGCACCCATGCTCTTCTGAGCTGTTTAAGCCAAAAGCCTTGAAGTTAGGCAGTAAAAATCAGAGCAACGAGTCACTTTGTACCACCAGTAGAAATAAGGCTTTCCTTTACTTTTTAAAAATAATCTATTTTGTGTGGGTGACAAGCATTCCTTACGAGAACTTCAGAGAGAACGCAAAGTAAAAGCACCTCTCTGTTCCTTGCTACAAACACCTAGAGCTTCAATTTCAGTTTATGTATGCAGAAGTCTTTTTTTTTTTTTTTTTTTTTTGGAAATCAGTACAGAGCAACATCAAGAGAACCGGACAGACTCTTCCGTGTCACTGGGCTACACAGTAACAAATGCTAGCACATATATATACACACAGAAATACAAGATTCCACCTTAAATAATGCTGCTTGCTTTTCTTTCTGCTTCTTCCCATCCTCCCACCTTCCCAGGCTATTTGGAACCCAGACAGTAAACAGAATCCGTACAAACAGGAAGTGCTGGCACACAGACAAGGACAAGGAGCAGCAGAGCGAGCCCAGGTGCTGCACACTCCCTCCAGCCGAGCCCTCACCTAACGCCTGACTTTTAGAAGTAATTCCCTTTGCTGCAGCAAGATGAACCTCTAGTTCTGTTCAAAAAGAACTGCCCCTGCCTAGCAGGGCAGCGAAAGAAATACAGTGACACTGGAGGCACCGCAGTCGTCAGACCTGCCGCTCTGCTACAAGCAAAAGTAACAGCGGAGTCAGTCAGCAACGCTCACCCTATCAGCTCATTTGGAAATGCATGCTCCTACAAAAACTGGGCTGAGATAAGAACTTCTGTTTATAAATTTTAATTTACCTTTTCTCAGCAAAGGCACCCCATCAGCCCTTCTTCTCTAAGTAGAAGCTGAAAAAGCCAAACTCGACGTTGAGTTATGACATATCATATACTATTCACATAACGTTTCTTAGAACCAAGGCTGAAAGCAACAGTAAATAGAGATAAAAGGTTTCTGCTGCACTGAAAGAATTGCTCCAGACCCCGAACGCAGCTCATGTGTAAAATAAATAGGTTTTGAGGTGGCAGTGTTTCTGCAAACTGTGCAGATTTTCTGAAGTTAAATATAGGGGAATGAATGGGAGCGCAGAAGCTTCTGTTTTGTAATCCAAATATAAGTTAGGTTTCCTCTTCTTCTACCTTCACCACCATAGCCACGCACTTGTAGAAGCATAGGCTTGGTTTCTGTAGACTTAATGGCTTCCTTTAACAACAAGCATTGTTTGCAAGTAACAAATCAACAGAAGATGGGATGAAGCTTTACTTCTGAGAGAGCTTTTACAAAGAACTGTGTGCCTCAGCAAAAGCCACGGGAGTTTTTGTTGTTGCTTTAAGCTTCTATACTAAAAACAAAACCTTCACACATTTTCCACTGAGGTATTTCCTAACTCTTTTTAAAACCATTTGTGGAAAGTTCATGACGGAATTAACACAAAGGCACAGCTCCCTAAGTGAGACATCTCAATTCTGCAGCTAAACTTTCTTGCTCTACAAAGGGCAGACAGTAACACAGTCCTCAGCACACTGTCCTACACAGACACAGAGCTGTAGAATAAGACAGCAGGCAAACCTATGCAGACCCTTGAGAACCCTTCCCTGCAGAAACTGCTGCCTGCTTCTTCACCAGCTACAACCACCCCAGAAGAGTACAATGGCTTTTTGAGAATCAGTTGAAAACAGTAAACACTACTGACCGGTTTTGTATCACAAACAAGTTCATTGGAGAGTAACTAAATATTTATTTAGCCATAAACAACAGCTCTGCTAATAGGTAAGGAGCAGGAACTTTCTGTAGAGGATTACTGATGGATCTTCGCTCACCACACCAGCAGATCGGGACTAGCGGTACTTACCCACACACAGAGCGGCACAGCAGGACGCTGTTCAGCTGTGAAACATTTTAACACCAATCCCTTCTCCTGTGGGGCTTCACCTGTGCCCCTAAAGCTCATAGGTTGCTTAGGTGCACTGCACCTGCATGTGTCAGATGATGGAGGAGGGCGTCTCTATTTGAGGCAACTCTTTTGACAGAATTACTGATTTTGTAAGTACATTTGCTTGCTTTATTTAAGCTGGAAATAAACCCAAAGTTTCTGTGAAGCCCGAAGGAGCACAGGTTTATCCTTGTTCAAACCATCAATGATGCTTGAATAAGACTTCTCTCTGCACTTCCACATTGAGCTCCAAGGTAACAATTATGATTCCTCAGACAGTAACATATTTGCATTTGTTTGTTTGCTCTTCCTGAACTTATGACTCATGTTGACTGTGTTGTCATTAGTCCTTGCCTGCTTCAGCCTGAAGTATGAGAACAGCTATGGTTAACTGAAACAAAGGGTTCTTCAGCCTGTTTTGATCAAATTTTCATCATTTCTGCATGCATCTGTAAGAAACATCTGCTTTGCAAACCTTGTGTTCTGCAAAGAAGCGCTGCTGAGACACTGTGCTTGTTGTTAGTGCATCTCCTTCTCCTATGCACCAAGCTGCTACCCGCATTGTTTCTCTAATGAGGTCAGGATACCACCCATTCACGTTTACTACAGCTGAAAGAAACTGCTAATATTTGCCTCAATAGATACGTACAAATAACAGGAACTTTCCTAAGAAGTGACATGAACTCAGAGGCATTTGAACAGTAAATACCACCAACTTCTCTGCAACAATTTCAAGACTTCTCAACTCTCCTGCTTGGAAGGTCACTTTCATATCCATAACAGATTAAATGCTTTGACACTACAGCATGTGTTGCCTATCAGTACAATCAGAACTCTGTTAAAAGGGATACATTACAGTGACAGAACTTCCTTTTAGGAAAAAAAAAAAAACAACCTAGTGAAGATTAAGCTTGTGTGATGTCCTGTTCTACCCCAAGGTTAAGTATCCTACATTTAATTCCAGTCCATAAAAAAACACCAATTAGGGAAGAGGAACCATATTGCAAGTTACCTAAATCATGGCTCACACACCAGGGCATCAAGACAACATGAAGCTGTTGTAATGATGGTTACACATCTCAAATCACCTTGCAATTGCTTGTGATATCATTCTTTCTGCTGATATACAGTAAAGGGTTTGGAAAAGAGGTGGTGAAAGAAGAGTTGAAGAGCTGGGTTGCAAAATAATTTGACAACACATTTAAGCAAAGCCTCCAGAGTCAGGAATAGGTTTTGCTCTCCTTCTTTTCAGGTAGTTTTCTTGCCTCCCAGTTCACATTTACATCCTTTACCCCTAATTAGCAGTTATGCCATCTTCCTCAACACGTCAAAACATTCCAAGCTGGAGACCTAAATCAAGGGAGCACTGCTGAGCAGTGATAACTACCTGAGTGCTTCATCCTCCATTTCAGAGCAAGATGAAGAAGAATATAACTTAAGAGAATTTTACTAAAAAGCAGAATAATTAAACTTCACCTACTCAATTAAAATGCTGGTGTCCACTTTAAATGCTTCATTTTAGCTAAATACCATGTAAAAAAGAAATCACAACTGGTTAAGTGTATCCTCTACAGCAACAGCATCTCAAATAGAGGCTAAAAGTTTTCTTGGGAAAACCACTTTGATTCTACAAAAAGTGCTCTTCAGTAGTACCTGACATTGAAATGGAAGATTGTACAGAATTGACAGAACAAAATGCAGTAAATTAATTGCTTTCCTTCCACCAGTGAAGACTGTCTTCACAAACTGGTAAGCAGAACTGGATGTTCAGCATCTGCATCAACTTCTCAGAACCCAGTAGAAGTTTTCACTCTCCATTATTAAAATCCAGCAGTAGCATTTGCTGGTAACTGTTTTCAGACTGGGAACATAAACACAAAAATGAAGAATAAGTGATATATTTTATAGTCTAAGCATTTTAATGACCACAGCGTACTTATTTTAGAATACTATTTGGAATGGAAGTATTTACTTCCTTTCCCAAAGGGAGGTTTATCTAGAAACTTCTTAAGTTAATATAATCAACATTAACTTTTTTATTTTTTTTTTAAGCTATGCCTGTAGTCAAGAGTCCAGTTAATGCTTTCCAGCCTTAATAAAAAGTTACTTAATAGCACAAGCATCAAAGTCACCTAACAACATATCTCACCCCAGAAAGTATTTTCATAAAATCTGAGAATCAATTTATTACCACTTTACTTGCGTGGTAAAGCAGTCCTTACTCCCTGCTCATTACTCCTTTCTTTGTGCCTGTACCTGCAGATGTTTTGTGCTTAGCTTGCCTGCATCTCTGCAGCAATCAGCATCATTGTTTTTCTAGAAAGGCAGAGGCTTAAGTCCCAGGGCACAGAAATTTTGTTCTGTTATACTTGAATTAGAAAACAGGCAGGTATTTCTATTTGTGGTTAATTCATCTCAGATGAAATGCTGAATCTCAAAAATTTCAGTCCTGCTCAAGGCTTCTTGCATTTTGAAGATGTTCAAGAACTGCTTTTTTTTTTTTTTAATTGACTACTAGTATTTTGAAGACCAACCTAGGTTGCTCTGTTGAAGAAAACCAGCAGAGGTATTGCTCATCACAAGGGCTCACTGCTAAGCAGTCAAGATATTTGCCAGACAACTGGGATCCTAACAGGTACCCTGTGCTTCTGAAAGGATCACAATTCAAGTAAACTGTGCGAGTTAAAATCTGGGAAGAGTCTTTGGAAGAGTACGAGGTATTATGTCCATTAGCTACCTCAAGTACTAGCACAAGACTGACTAGCCTGCACATTAAAAGATTAGTATGGAAAAAAGTTGAGTTTTAGCACATATATATGTCTTTTGAAATACAGTGCAGTCTAGGAGGCAACTTTCCAGTCCCTTTTCCTTTCTTTTCTGCTTGGACTTGTAAAGAAACATGTTGTATGTGTATTATTTTTCATCTCTTTGCCTTAGAAAAGGGCCATAATGTACAGCCAATAATGTGACTCAGCTGTCTCGGTTTCAGAGAACTTTACCGTAAGTCTTGGCCAATTCAGTAAACCCCTTGTATCCAACAAACACGCTTCATGGTTCACAATCCTCAAAAAGCTCAATTTGTCAGCATTTATTTACTCGTAATTTCCAATTAAATTAAAACTGCCAAATCCATCCTATGTAAAACCCACAAGGATAAAGTTAATATAAGGAAACTTATCAAAAAGCAGACTAAAAGATTTCTTTGACATGTACCTAACCTACTACTGGTGAAAAAGCAACAGGGCACAAAAGAAAAACACACCAAACACCAAAAGTTCTTCACTTGACTCAACTGCTTTTAAACTACACTTCAGCAGTGCTAATTTACTTCTACTGCTAAATTAACAACATGCCAAAGAGGTGAAGGCTACACTAAACCTTCATCATTCTCCCTCCTCCTACTTTGCAAAGGTAAGTTGGTTTCTTTGAACTTTGTTTCCACACTTCTAGAGTTCAGGTACTCAGACATAACCTCTCTAGAACAGACCATAAACATTCCCAGCAAGTGTACTTGCTCAGTCATGCCTGCCAAGTGCTTTTATTCCCCACTTTATTAGCTTTGAGAAAAGTACACTGTTACTAGAGAACAAGTGATTATTTCCACTGTCTCTCACACTACTTCTTTGAAGTACACATGGTTTCTACACTGCCTTTCACAAAGGGAGATCCAAAATTAACTAGGAAAATACCTCCTATGCAAGCTATATAAAATAAAAACGCTTGGTTGAAAACCACTGCTTAGAGATAACAGATTCAACCTCACATAGGCAGTACTCAATCTGCAACATTTCCATTTGCCCACAGGTTTGCTTATATATCCAAGGTAAGTCCAATCTTTTAAACAGTTTAGCTATCCTTAACCTGCTCAACCCCACTTTTTTTTTTTTTAAACTGTAGCAACACAACATGGAAAACAAACAGTTAACACTTCAGAATATTACTTCTGGTTCATATAATATTCCATTTACCATTCAAAAGTATGTTTACAGAATAATTCAAATTGGAAGGGACCTCTGGAGGCTATCCGAGCTCATCCAGAACTCAGAACAACTCACATATGATTGGCATCTGAACAAACACCAAGAGAAACAAATCTGTTCTCTCTGCACCGCTCCCACTTGGATGAAGGCACTGGGAAGAGAGATTTGTAACAATTATTTGCCAGGACACATTCAACTCAAAGTAAAAGAAAATTCCACCCAGTTCTACCACAAATAATTTTGTTGCCTCTTGTCCCCTTAGTTACAATTTCAGGCAAGTATCATCACTTGGAGGAACCAGAGGTCTTTCTTTTTTTCCAAAGGAAGAGACCGAACTCCTAAAAGCACAGAACGTGATGACCAAAAAGGTATAAAAAACAACTCCTACCTTAACTGACACCTCAAGCCATCAGCCTGTTCCTTCAGTTTGTGGAAGTACAAACTCTTCCTCTCTCTAACGCTCCTCCTCCACCTCTTTTACATGCACAGAACACATGTGGCCCATTTTTCCTCATCTGGGAGATTTAATAAGTCTCACATGTTTTCCAATAGTTACAAAATTATAAAACTGACTTTTGCTTTATTACTTACAATGTTTTAAAATCCTCTTTGCATTATTTCAATTCATATTCCTTCTCTGGTTATATTCCACAAGAGAAAAAATAGCATCAGTTTTGACTGTTTCCTCTTCAGTATCAAAGTTAAAAATAAATGGAAAGCCTTAGCTCCATTCATCCAGAGGTAACAGACCATGCATCTCTTTTTGAGTGTAATGTTCTGGCTATTGATGTTGTTTCAAACTTTATGACATGTGAGCAAGCACAGCATGTATTTAAACACAAGGAACAACTGTGATCAGAAAGAAGCTCATTCTTCACGTGATAACACCTTTCAAAGGTATTATTTTTTTTTCCAATACCTGGAAAGCTCTTACAGACTACTTGGTTTTGTGAAGCAGCATGATGGTTAAAGTACAAAACTTTTGCTTTTCATCAATCCTATTCCAAATCCTCCAGCAACTTCTTACAACAGCTGTCCAGAAACAACTATTCCCCACTTACTTCGAGAGCAATTAACTTTGACTGGCACAGAAATAGTTAACTAGGTCCTGAACTGCTTTATGACTTCCAATAAAGCACAATTGCTTTGTAAACAGCTCAGCTACACCACCTTTTCCAAAGAATACTCCAGAAAAGAAAACAAAGTGAAACCAAAACACTCAGTTTCATTATCAGTAGAAGCAAGCTGTAACAAAAAGCAATACATTTCTGCCATTCAAACTGAATGAGCATTGGAGGCAGCAGAATAGCTAAAACATCTGGGTGTGGGTCTGTAGGCTGGGCTTAGTGCTCTGAAAAACAAGTAACATTGTCTCCAAGTTGATAAGAATGGCATCAAGTTCACCCCCCTGAAATTCAGGGCACCTGCCCCAGCAGAACTCCAGCTAAGCCTCTGAAGCTGCTACGTTTATTGTCTTAATGACAAAGACAACACTTCCCAGATCACAGGCAGCACTGTGTGGTTTCACCAATTCCCCTGCAAACAGTACGAGCTTGTTGATCTGGGGTTTCACAGTGACGCTGTTAAAATATGCTTCCAAATTGCTGCTCTGCAAGAGCTTGCTGTTGGAGAACAACGTTACTTATTGTGAAATTTTCTCCTCACAAAGAACATTATTTCAGAACAAATTATCCAGTGAGTTCCCTGCAGTGTATAAACCATTAAAGCCGTCATCCTGAGGACTGGAATATTCCTGGTCACACATGTTGTTTACACACAGTGAGAGCTGGACTTTGATTACTGCACTGCATTATAGAATTGGGGCATAGAAGGAACTGAAGCAAAAGCTACGATAACATCCCTGTAAGTTAATTGTGAGGAGGATAAATTAAAGAACTCAGGTAATGCTGGCAAAAGCAAAGAACTTCCCCAGCACGATGAATTTGGAAACTTGTTAGCACTCAAAGCTAGGAATGTATGGGTACAAATAGGTGACAGGCCAGGACTCGGCATTCTCCATTAAAGCAGTGAGAAATTCAGCTCCCAGAGCCAGTCCAGCACCCCCGGCTCACTTCAGAAAGGCCTCACACCCCGCAGCCGCACGGCCCGCTTGTAAACACAGCTCACGTGTGTGCGCTGCGAGCACGCGGTGCTGCGGAGCTATGGCTGTGCAGCAGATCCTTAAAGCCTTCGAGAAGAGATAAAACTGACTGAGGAAAAGAACTCTGAGCAACACCAGCAGCGGCTCCGATACCTCAGTAACGCGAGGCACGCCCACAACAGCACCAGAGCCCCACGGGGAAAACGAGCACGCCGTTTGCGTTAGGCCAGTCGAAGCCTATAAATACCCGAGCTCCGACAAGAAGTCGCCTTCTCGCGTTCATCACCGGCGACGAGCGGACCCCGGGTCTGCGCGCGGAGGCGAAGCTCCCGCCCAGCAACGCGACACAAAGCGCTCGGCTCCTCCGCCTCCCGAGCCGCGGCCGCACGCCGCAGCACCCGCCCCGCCATCCGCAGCGCAGCGCCCCGCCTGGGGGTCGCGCTTCCCCCCCGCAGGCCCCGCCGCCACCTCGCTCACCTCGCGGGCGCGGTCTCCCCCGCCGCTCCTCGCGGCCCCCGGGCGCCGCCCCGCGGGACCCTGGAGCGGGCGGACCGCCTCCCCCCGGGCGCTGGCGGAAGCGGCGCCGCAGTCCGCGCGGCACCCCCGGGCGAGCCGCCTCCCGCAGCGGCAATAACAGGAAGGCGGCGGGGCCTGACCCCGGACGGGGAAGGCGCCGCCCGCCGGAAGTGGAACCGCGGGGGCGTGGGGGAGAGAAGGCGGGGGAGGCGGGCGGAGCGCGTGCGCCGCCGAGGGAGAGCGGAGCGGGAGGGTCGCGGCGTGACATCATCGCGAGACGTCACGACGAACGGCGCGGCCTCGGCGTGTTCTGCGGCGCACTGCCGGCACCGTGCTGCCACCTAGCGCGGGGCCTCCGCCGTGGCACGGGATGCGGAGCTCCGCGCCGCGCACGCGTGGTGCCCGCCCCGTCCCGCCTCACTTCCTGCAGCTGGGCCCCGCCGTGCCCGGCGCCGGCTTCCCGAGGCCCGGCTTGCGCGAGGAGGCGGCTCCGGCCCGGTAGGTGCGGGCGAGGGGACGGCGCGGGCCCGGGGCGGTTCCACACGGCGCGCGGTGCCGCGGGGCTTCCCGCGCGTGGGAGGGCCGTGCGGTTCGGGTGTCCGTAGGCGCCTTTGGTCTGAACCAGCTTTATGTGCGTCCTTGCCCGGATTGAGTCGTAGAATCTTAGCGTAGAGGAGCCCGGCCCTCGGTGCGAACGGCTGCGATGTCTGCTGTGTGCGCTGTGCGTGACACGCTGCGTTTCGGTGAGGCTCTGTGGAGCTGCGGCCGAAGGGGCTCTCCGAGGAGGATGGCAGCGTGCTGGGAAACCGACCGGCTTGGGAGGAAACCTCTGCAGTTCTGGGAAGACAACCCACGGCTTTTTCATGGCTTATATAAGCCCGTATCGCTGTTCTAAATTGCCCCCGTGCATTTAGAAACTGATTCCTCTCAGAGTGCTGCTTGTCATGTAGGCTGTGAGCTCTGCCCGCGGCTGAGGAAGGTCGTGGGCTGGCCGTGCACACTGCTGGCTGCGATGCCCACAGTTAAGGCCGAGGCCCAGCTCGCTCGCAAGAGAGGTCCTTTACTCATTTGCTGTTCTGTGAGCATAACAAATTTTACAGCTTATTGTGTGAGTGGAAAGGAGGAGTTCAGGTGTCCTGTGAACTTCTGGATGGGTATCTGTAGTAACCAGCAGTGTGATGTTAGAAGAACACATGAATAAGATGAAACAGAATGGTTTTCTTTCTTTTAAATAGTGACTGAAAGGAGAAAAATGATGTAATTAGAGCAGTTTTAGTGACAGACCACCTTTAGAAGAACACTAGAGTTGCATGTGCAAAGCCATGCAGTTCTAATTTTAAAATTGCCCATGCAGCCTTAACTCTATCTTCAGAGTACTGTTTACTTTGAGGAACAGCGAATGACCTCATAAATAATGATTTCTCTAAGAGTATTGCTTTACGCCTTTTTCCCAGTGGATGCAGATCCTTTAAGCAGTGTCTTGCCTTGTGCTTGATATCCCAGCCTTACCCATTGAGTATGGAAGATGTGGCACAGCAAGCACTCATGCAAAATTAAGCAGATGGATCCTGATTGCTGTTTACTGTAGGTTGCTTTATATTGCTCTCTGAAGTATTTATCTATAATTGACTCTCTTTTTAAAGTAAGAGGACCATTATGATGTTGAAGTAAAACTCTGAAGTTTAATGGCATGTTTAGCTACTTGCATAGCTGATGTCAAGTGCCTTGAGAGGTCTGTGGTGTGATGTGTGTAACTATTGTGAATACAAGCTGGTTCCATCATCAGCACCACTGAAGTTGGTTACAGTGTCTACAAGGCACTAGTTGCAGAAACTGAAGCTAGCAGAAACTTTTTCCATAGTTTCGTTAATCTAGCAGAACCTGTGCCAGAAGTTGGAGAGAAGCTGGGTGGCAGTACAGAAGTTGGCCTGCTGATGGGTGGTTTACACCATGCTCATTCTTCGTTTATTCTTTGTACAGCATATTGTTTCGTTATGTTTCACTTAGTTTTCATGAAGCTCTTTTTGATTTTGTTTTTGTGGTCATGTTTTGATTCATGTTAGGTTCATGCCCTCCAATCTTACATTGTTTAGATGTAACAATTCCAGAAGTGCTTATGTGACCTGAGAGTTTTAATCCCATGTTTTCTTTTTTCCTAATGAACATAAACCTTTATGGGGTCAGACTTTCAAAGGTAATAGAGGATCTAAAAATGCAATCATCAGCTGGGATTTTCCAGAGCTTGAATGCAACACAGTATTTATCTCCTGCTAATTTTAGCAGATTGAAAATCCCGGAAGTTATCCCAGATAAATGCTGTCTCCTCCAGGTTCCTAAATGCCTTTGAAGTCAAAATCTATTTTCAAATGCGATTCAGAACCAAAGTTCCTATGTGGCATTTAATTTACCATTCCCTCAATCTTCCAGAAGTCTCCCATTTTAAGATGCAGACGTGGCTTGCTATTTGCTTAAACAGTGGAAGCCCACAGCACAGACATGGTTGCTACCAATGCAGCCTTGGCTAGAAGTCATCAGCAGACACCACAGATAATGCAGCTGTCTACCACAATGTAACACTGAATGGGATTTGTTATGATAAGAAGCTAAGAAGACATTAACAAAAGTAGCTGTGCCTCGATTCATAATATCACTGCTCAGCATTATTCTGGGATTGTTCATCCCGGGCTTTAGATGTGATTTGTAAACTTTAATTAAATAAGCCTCTCAGAACCCCTTGTCGGAAATGTAACGTTAGTTCTAAGAACTCAAATTAACTGAGAAATAATAGAATAAAGGTTAATATGGGATAAGCACTCCATTTTTGTAGAAGAAGATACGGCTGCTGCATAGGTTGTGTGTAGAGAAGGAAACACAGAGAAGTAGCTCAAGGTCATTCCACAAGACTATGGGAGATCTGGGAAAGGGGCGCTTGAGAAATGATTGTGTGCAAGATCTGCTCACGTTGTTTCCCACTCCTCGGCTTGTTGATGACTCAGATGAGAAAAGTTAACCTTGGGATATTTATTCTGAAGATTTTTGTGATTATTTGGGTGATGTAGATGTGTGTAGATGTATTTTATATTAATGTAAAATAAATACGCTTTGAAATATTTCTGTTCTTTCTAAGTTCTCCTCCAGTATCGTGTAGTAGTTACAAATTGTAGTATTTGTTTATGTTTTAGATAGTGAGCTTCTGCTTAGGCTGTCAGAAGAGGATGTGGCTAACGGTCGTGTCCCTCATTCCTGTTAACACAGCTTTAGGTGCTGTGTGTTGGAGGTCACATCTAGCAGTCATGGAGCGTTGGGTGTGTATGGCAGGGTCTGCTTCTGGGTCAGGTACTGTGAGGGATCTTCATGTGTCTGCAAAGGTGCCCTGGGGTGCTAATGGCTGTGTTTCAGATCACTGTTTCTTATACCCATGTATTTTTAATATCTTGCCATGGTCATGTTGTTCTGCTATTCTTACAAGCTGATTTTATACCTGCTTGGAATTGTAAAAAGGCATAAAGCAGAGGCAATACAGTTGCAGAAGTTGTCCCCTCAGTTGTTAGTGTGACTTATTTGAGCATTTGTGTCTTTTTGGTCTAGATTGGAAGAGGACTCCTCATCCTTCAGAAATAGTATGCCCACAGTCGTCTTGGCCAATGATTCTTCTACAGCAAGCAGGACTTCTTCCTCATCCTGAGAAACCTTCATCTCTTCCTATGTCAGTGGCTACAAGGCCCAGAGCCACCTCGCCACTCTCCCCACCAAAATCACTTGGACTGGGGCCTTCCTTTTATCACGCACAAGACGAAGAGCTTGCAAAGGTGGTGGAGCAGGACCCTATGCTGGAGGAACTATGTAAGCCTCTGTGCTGTAAGCTCTGCAATGTCACTCTGAATTCAGCTCAGCAAGCCCAGGCTCATTACCAGGTAAGCAGGGTAGTAGTGGGCATGGATTCCAGGACTCCTGCATCTACATTAGGTTTTGAGTGCTGTGTTGAAGTGGCTACACAGTAGCAGCATCGTTTGAGTTAACTCATCTGAAGCTACCTTTTCTACATCTGGGGGACTGGAAGCTGTGTCTAGAACTACTGTATGCACGTAGCTTCACCTTGGTTGAATTTGCTGGTCATCCAGATAAGCTGCAGAGCTTTCTTTTAAGGTATGATGACAGGATCAGATCACAAAATATTTTTCTGTGCGGACAGAGAAATCCTACTAAGATGGCATGAGTGGAAAGGAAAATACCTACTTTTTCTTTGTTTTCCACCTCTACATCTTCCCACTGAAACTGAACCTCTGATTCCACAAACATGATGTTTGTGAGGCCTGGACAGATGTTTTCTCTGGAACTAGCTGTGCCCTTAGGAGAGTAGTCTGCTACCATGTGCTTATCACTGCCTCCTTCCTGAGGCTATGCACACCACTGCTTTGCTGGAGGCCGTATTTATGCAAAATCTCATGTGCTTTGAACAGTGTGTGGAAACTGTTGAGTCATGGTCTGAACCACTGATTGAGCACCTGGGTCAGCCCTGGGAGCACAGGTGAAGGCAATTCATCTGTGTGATTGGAAGGGGTGGAGCCTGGCTGCACCTCTTAGACCTCATTTAAGGGCTGACTGCTGCTGGGGAAGGATCTCTTTTTGGAGATCCCTCTTTGGTGGTGCTTTTTCCTGGGTTCTAGAATCTTCTGATAGGGGTGAGTGATTTTTCTTCCTTTTCTTTATAGTGCCTTTTTATTGTGCTGGTCCTTCTGTTATCACATCTTTGTTGTAATGCCTTTCCCATTGTATTGGTCTGTCCAATTGCTACAGGAAATATCAGCTGGATCAGCTCAAACCAAATTCTGTTTGCTCAGTCTGTCTAGTTGGTTTCTTTGGAATTGGTTAGGAGCAATCTGTGTATTTCTTTGCTGGTATTAAATAAATCTTAGTCTTATGTTGTCCCTGATGTCAGTAGCTTGCCTTCCTAGCGCTGAATTTGTGAGAGGTATGGATATGGTAACTTTCTTCACCACCCAGTGCAAGAGGGT